AAATATATCAGGATACAAAATCAACAGTGTTTCTGTAATAATGAACCCCGAGGGGGGGAAAACACCACTCACAATAGCACCAAGAAAAATTAAAAGGGTTGGAGATTTAGCTCAGTGGTGCCACTGCCTGCCTCACAAGTGCAAGGTCCTGAGGAAGGAAAAAATTAAAAGGAAGTAACAGAACTCTCCAATAAATACTACAGTATGCTGAAAAAGGAAGTTGAAGAAGATATCAGAAAATGGAAATAAATCCTGTGTTCCTGGAACCAGTATAGTCAAACTTCTAAAATTGAAATACAGATTTAACACAATCCCAATCAAAATGCCAACAACATTCTTCACAGAACTGGAGAAATAATCTTAAAATTCACATGGAAGCAGAAGAGACCTAGAATAGCAAAAGCAATCCTGGGTAACAAGAGCAAAGACAGAAACATCATAATCCTGGACCTAAAATTATATTACAGTGATAAAAACAGCATGATACTGGCACAAAAAGAGACATGGAGGGTCAATGGAACAGAAGAGGATTCATGAACAGTTCCAAGCACAGTCCACTATTTGATATTTGACAAAGGGGCCAAAAACATAGACTAGAGGAAAGATAGCCTCTTTAATAAATGGTGTTGGGAATACCAACTCTCCACATGCAAAAGATTGAATCTAGATTCATATTTCTCATTCTGTAGTAAGCTACAATAAAAAAGGATCAAAGAACTGAATGTTGAAACTTCCGGAAAATAAACTAGGTAAAACTCTTCAAGTCAGAGGAACAGAACCCCAGTTGCACAAGAAATAATAATACCAAGAATCAACACATGAGATCATATCAACTTAAAAAGCTCTTCCATGGTGAAAGCAACAACCAGCACAGTGAAAAGACAACCTACAGAATGGGGAAAAATTTGCCTACTATTCCTCAGGACGAGTACTAATATCCAGAACTTTTAAAGAAAAACAATTAGCTTCCCCAATCAAAAACCCAAATGAAAATGGGCAAATAAAACAAAGATACTTCATAGATGGTGTATAACTGGACAAAAAATACACGAAGAAAAGCTCAACATCGCTGGCTATTAGAGAAATGCACATTAAAGCAAACTGAGTCCATCTTACCTCAGAAAGAATTGCCATCACCAAAAAAATCAAATAGTAACAAACCGTGGCAAAGTTGTGGGGATAAATGAAACTTTTTACACGGTTGGTGGGAATGTGAACTAGTACAACATTATGGAAATCAGTATGTAGTTTCCTCAAAAAACAATAAGAAATTCCACTTGATTTAGCTATTCCCCTTATAGGTATCTTCCCCAAAGAATTAAAGTATCATGTTATAGTGATAACATGCATATCCATGTTTACAGCAGCACAATTTGTAATAGCTAAATCTTGGACAGCCAATATTGTGCTTGTCCATCAATAGATGAATGGATAAAAAAGTGTGATAATTACACAGAATGGAGTACTACTCTGCCACAAGGAATGATAAAGTTGAATCACTTGTAGGAAAGCGAATGTACTTTGAGACCATAGTGCTTAGTGAATTAAATTAGATACACTAGCTTAAATGGTTTGTCTTATATGAAAAACTCAAATTATAAATAAAGAGCAAAATAAAAGATAGGTAAGAGGAAGTAGTGAGATAAATTTTTCTCGAATGAGGATCAAGATATGGAAGGAGGGGGTGGAAGGGGAAGGAAAGGGTTGAAAAGAGAAATATGTAACAACATGTACACGAAACAATTCCATACAATGAATATAAACACTGTACTAATAAAAATTGCACACGTATTGCAAACATGTACTAATTAAAAAATTCTTAAAAAATACAGGAGTCTTAAGACCGAAACAAAGCAACAAAGTTTTGTATGTATTTAGATGATCATTTAGTTTTTTTCCTTCGTTGTAGTAACATGGTGTTAATTGGCTTCTAGATGTGAAAGTAACCTTGTTTCCTAAAATAAATATCATGTAACTATGGCATTATTCCTTTTGTATGTTGCTAGATTCTATTTATAAGTAGTTTGTTTAGGATTTTAGTATCTCTAAGTCATATCAGCCTGGAATTTTTCCTGTAATATTTTTTAAATCATTGGACTCAAGGATATGTGCTGGCTTTATAAAATGAGTGCAAGTGCTTTTTTCCTCCTCTAGCCTCTTAAAGTGTTTTGTACAGTATTGGTATTATTATTTTTAAATGTTTAGAATAATTTACTGATAAAGAGATCTCAGTCTGGAAATGTCAAATGTCTCTACTAGTAGTTTCTGACCGAGTACCAGAAGTTCTATGTAATGTTATCTTCCCTCCTCAGGAGTCAATCTATGGCAGGTAGGAGAGAGGCAGATCTTCTCAATTCAATCAGGGACCAGGACTGAGCTAACATAAAGTTTATTTGGTACCTTTGTAAAATTCTGTTATAACTTTATACTGCTGAGATAATGACTTACCACAAACTCAATAATATGCAACAACATATGTTTATTATTTTACTGCTCTGCAGTCTTAAAGTCTCATTCAGATCTCACTGGGCTGTAATCAAGGTGTTGACAAGGCTGCATTCCTTTCTGGAGATTCCTTTTCCTTTGCCTGGTCTAACTTACAGAGGCTACCTATATTCTTTGGTGTGGGGTCTCTTCATTCATCTTCAAAGTCAACAATTTTACATTTCTCTGACCATTCTTCCATATTCTCTAACCCTCCTCCTCTCCTCCTCTTCTGTTTTTTAAGACACTTGTCCTTATGCTCAGTCCACCAGGATAATTCAGGATAATCTCCATCTCTTAAGGTCAGTCATTACAAAAACAAATCCAAAATGATAAATGATGTATTCTTTTTTAATATAGCAAGGTTAAAAAATGAGAACATCTATTTAGCTGGAGTTATTAGAAGCATATTCAATCCATATTTATTTACATAGCACTTATTCAGACTAGAATCATATCTATACAATTTTATTAGTTATTAATGTGGTGTTTCTAAATTGTTAATTATCCTTAAAGTTTTTATTAGTTATTAAAATATGTGCTTCTCTAGGTCATTAGTTATCCTTAAAGTATTTATTAGTTATTAATATGTGGTTAATTAAATCATTAGTTATCCTTACTTAACGTATTTATTTCACACAGCAATTCCACACAGCAATGGATTTAGTAGTGCATAAAACACAGTCCTTTCCTTGGGCAACAAACAATCTAGAAACCAGATAAGACATTTAGGTTGAAAATGATATAAAATAGTAATACTAACAGTGCCATAAAATTAAAAGGGTGATTAATATGAACTCCAGAAGTTACAATCACTGATTATATGATAGAATCAGAGAGACCTTAGGCATCATGTAGCCTGATAATTCAATTGTAAAGCTGAAGAGCCCTTTTGCTAATTAACTAACCTGATGGAAAGTAACAATATCAAATAAGCAGTAGAATGGAATTAGAACTCTAGTGTGTTCTGATTCCTGGTTTGATGTACTTGTAAAAAAAAAAAAAAAGGTGACCTTAAGAGAAGGTAAAAGGTGCATAAGGAGACCAGTAGGAGAAAAGACAATGTAATCAAGATTTGTTTTGTTTTGGGTTTTTTTTGGCACCGGGGATCGAACTCTGGTCTTTGTGCTTACAAGGCAGGCCACCAAATCGCTGAGCTAAATCCCTGGCCTCTCAAGATGTTTTAAAAATAGGTAGAAGCTACTGTTGACAGAGTAGGGGGTAAAACTATGGAGAAATTAGAATTGAGGCTGAGTTGACAGTGGGAATCAGGACAGAGTTTGGGTATATGCTGAGGACCAGCCATGATATGGATAAACTGGTGGGGTCCAGGTGACAGGCTCTGGGGTCTCAGGCTGTGTTGATTTCCCTCAGGAACAGACAAATATGCAAAAGTCTACAGACTTCCTGGCTGTGTGGGAAAGTAATCACAGCACTCCTGATGTAAGACAGCATCTGCTGAGGACCATACAAGATTTAGACCTCTGGGTATGGGGAAGGACCTTAACTTGCTCCCTTTCAGTTGCTAAATTTGTTCCTTATTTTACTGCCCTAGTCTTACTGCAGTCTCTGTTCCTGGAAAAGTACACCACCCACTGCCCTGTGCTTCTTGCTGAATAATAAAGGCAGATATACCTGGTTTGTCAAGCTTGTCCACTAGAAGCAGACTCCTCCCTGTCCCTCTTATACCTTAAATATTGTATTTTTCTCTTTTTTTATTCCCTATAATCCACCCAATAGGTATCTGATCATGGCAGGTACAGACATGATAAAATTCACTGTATAATAAGATCAATTCTGGAGGAAAACTTACTGTAAAAACAGGTTGGGAATAAAAGTAAGGCAGGGAGACCAGTGATGGTGAGGGAAATAGAGAAGCATGAGTTCGAAGGAGTATTTGCCAATATTTCATGACTAAATGGATGTGAAAAAGACATTCAGTTTGAAACATGTCACGATTAAAGGGATGATACCATACTGAAGTAGAGAGATTCTGTAGACAGGTAGAGAAACATGAGAGTAGAGCTCAGGGAAAAGACTAGCACTCGAAAGTTAAATTTAACCACATATCATAGAAATGATTATGCACTGTCCACTTTACTTTCTTTTAAGTTTTCAGATCAATAGTGGCTAAATCCAATGTTCTTCCTTAAATCACTAGCCCATAGTAGTTTTCAATTAATAGTTACCAGTTTTTGAGTATTTACCGTAGGCTGGGCAATGTTCTGGGTACTTTACACGTATCAGCTTATTTAATCCTCACAACTCTTCAATAAGATGCCATTGTTTGTGCCTCTTTTACACTTGATCTTAGCCAAAAGTCTGAGAAGCAATTGTTGCCCCTTTTATAGTTGAGAAAACTTAGACAAAGAGAGGTTTGGATGTTGGCAACAATCCAGCTCTCCTTAACTACTATACTAATTTCACATTTTGGCAAATAATAATATTAAAATGGTCTAGAATGAAATTCCCCCTTCATTCTATACAGCAAACTGGAACAGTTTTAACATACTTACTTGTAATGTATTTGTATCCCATACTTTCAGAGTTTTATCAAATGAGCTTGATGTAAACATGCCTGTGTCATGAGGATACCACTGAACAGTCTCCACACTGTATTTGTGAACATCAGGATGGCTTCTATAAAACAGCAATCAAAGTTTAGAGATAACTGATTTATGTGAGATTCAAAAATGGTACTATATTAAGAACAAGTAGTAGTTTCAGTGTAATATGATTTGTCACACCTAAATAACATTCTTGTATCCTAGCTGTCCAAGAGATGGGGAGAATGTCCAGGCATCTCCAGACTTAGGCTTCTATAGCATTATGCAGTGATAAGGCCTCCTCCTAAGGCTCATAATATGGGAGACTTCCCATTTTTGTATTATGTATAGCCTGAAGGCATCAGCCAACTATACTGGACTTACTCTGTCATGCAGGTAGCAGGAGTTTGTCTTTATTGGATTCTTCTTTTAGTTTTGGATTTTCTTTTCTTAAGTATCATTCTATTAGCATTCCCATTCTTAAAATTGTTGAAAGTCTCACCCACTTGGTGTCCCACACAATACCGCTTGGTATTAAGAAATTTATACTGTAACAGCAGAACATACTTGGTAGATGTCCATGAGATTCACTAGTCCCATCACCACAGAAGTATGATCCACTGATGAATACATTATGATATCAGCTACATTACCAGGGGTTTTGCTATTCTAAAGGATACAGTATATCCTCTGAACCAATAATCAATACCATACATGTGTCATGCTAGTAAATCTTTATTCAAACAAAAAAACTGTTCTGGGTATCTTTCCAAAAGAATTAAAAGAATCATATCACAATGATATATATGCACACCTATGTTTATAGTGGCACAGTTTGTAATAGCTAAAACTTAGAAACAGCCCATTTGCCCATCAATTGGAAACTAGATAAAGAAGATGTGGTTTTTCTATAAAATGGAATACTACTCAGCTATAAAGAATGAGGAATTCGACTCTTTCATAGGAAAATGGATACATATTGAGGATATACTCCTAAGTGAAATAAATAAGTCACACATGTGTAAATACCGAATAGTTTCTCTGGTGTGAAAAACTATAATAGTACATAAGATCCTAATGGGATAATTGACAATGTGAAATAGGAAGAAAAGGGCTAAAGTTGTAGTGAAAGTGGGAAGGGTAGGGAAAAGGTAATAAAGGAAAGAAAAAAACAGGAGAAAATAAAAAAAATGGAAATGAAGTGTTTGTAAATGGGGAGAGGAATAGGGAGTGAAGGGAGGGCAGGGACAAGGGTTAAAATGAGAAGCAAGACCTGTCATGTAGAGATCCCAAAAATGAATGTAACTGTACTGTATACCTAAAATGTACCAATAAACTCAATGAGGAAAAAAACAAACCAGCTGTTAAGAGATATTTATGAAACAGTGAGAAAAATTTCACAACTGCCTGCATATTTAATATCACTAATTTTTGAGTATGTGAGTCAGTGGTACTATGGTTATGCTTATAAAAATCCTTTTTGTTTTAAAGACACAAATAATTATGGGTGAAAAAATATGCTATTTGGGATTTATTTCAAAATAATACTGAGAATAAACATGTATGGGGTAGAGAAGAAAGAAGTTTGCTTATGACTGATAGTTGCTGAGGCTGGGTAATAGGCATATGGTTCTTATAATACTACTGGCTACTTTTATATAAAAGAAAAAAATTAATAGGATACTGTAGTCCTATGTAGATAGAACCATCATGGGTTTTGATTTCCAAGGGTGAAGGTCTGTAGCTGACAACCCCACCTCATACTAGTAGGCTTCTTGTTTTTCATTATTTGGCTACTTTTTTTTTACATCAGGAGTCAGACTGAAGCTCTACATGACTCAACTGGGCATGTCAAATGGTAGACTGGGCGAGTATAGCTCCTCCCTCAATGGCTGCCATGAAAATCTAGGTCCTGGTCTACAAAGTGGCAGGGCTCTGCTGAGTTACATGCAGCTGAAGTCACCATGATGCCAATTAAAATCCTTTCCCCTGAATTATGGCTTCTCACTGAACCAATGCGCTGTTTGCTAATTACAAGTCCCAGTACTGGTTTGCTCTATCCAAGCAAGACAAACAGTGCTTATTCTCTAACAGCTTGGCCTGGTGCCATCATGCCAGGTATTCAGCGGTATTTCACTAGATGCCTTCAGAGCCTACCCTGCTCCCTATTCCTTCCCACAATTGTATTAAAAAAATACTGGATGCACATAGGGGCCTCTGTCTTTGCTGCCATCGGCAGTACTGATTATGCCCCCAAGACTCAGGTTCTCTCTTAGTCTTGTTTCCTGTCTATTCTTTAATTCACCTTTGCTGTGGTGGCTCATAGGAGGCCAGGACGCAAGACAGAGGTTCTGGCAATATCCCCTTCCCTGTTGCTTACAAAATCTGTATCACAACAGTGGGGAAAGGACCCTGAACACTTGTGGTGCTAAGTGAAGGAATGAGGATGTGAAGCAAAGTCTTAAATGCCAGCTTGGACCTGAAGATGGCTACAAAACTATATTGGCTACCCATACATAACCTTTCTTCTGCTATGTATATACTTACATATTTTAACTAACTTTCCATTTTTCCTCAGTTACTGCCATTATCTTACATAGGATAACAATATAACTCCATAGTTATATAAGTCCATAGATTATATGATACTGACACAAAGTCCCGAGAAAATAGTGCAACAACAGGCTTTGAGCTGGATGTGATAACTAGAGTCAGGATCATTATCCTTTGTAGAGTAGGATGATTAATTTTTTTTCAGATGAGGTAAGTATGGCAAGAAAGATATATAGGGATGTTGAACAGCCAAATGGTTGGATAGCAATAGACACATGCCATTTTTTCTCAGCTGCTACACATTCAAACTCCTATTTGGTGAGAATCCCCCCTTTTTTTGAAAAGCAAAGCCCTGCCTTTTTGGTACAGAAAGGAACTCCAGACATTTTCTTTTCCTGCTTTTTGGGATCAAGGACAATGGTATATGTAAGACTCTGACCTTTAGGTCATAATGAAATCCCAGGAAGATTCAGACACTATTCATTCCTGGGGAGTTGAATCTGTACTACTGACATGCAGCAAAACCCAAACTAAGTTGTTCTTGCAGTATAACTTCTTTTTTGTTTTCTAAGTTTGATTCTCACATCTTCTTGACCATTATGTGAGATACTAAATATCTTTCCAATAAATTTCTGCTTAAGATAAATAGAATCTATTTTTATTCGTTCCTAAGAATCTTGACTTCTATAGAGATTTTCTTACAGTGATAATAGTTTTAAGTGAAACAAAGCTTTAGTGTAGTGATCATGAATAAAAGCTCATTTATATTTTAAAATTAAAGTTTAAAGTAGGACCAATATAACATCCTTCTCTTACTAAGCAGGATCTGTTAAACTCATTCACATTTAATCATTTTGGTAGAAATCTTTTTTTATTGTTGAAAACAAAAAATATTAAGTATATCAACAATAAATATCCAAAAAGTCTAAGTCACATTCACTTAATAACAATCTCATTAAAATTATTTTTAAAAAATTAGATAGTAAATTCTGATTGAATATGCTATTTTAACTCATTTTGTAAAAATGCTCACTATATGCCCATCTTCAAATTTAAAATCATACTTAGTAGGGTGAGGTGGAATCTCAGTGTTGTTTTCATCTGCATCTCTCAAATGACCAGTGATGTGGAGCATTTTTTCATATATTTACTTGCTGCTTTTACTTCTTTGTCTGAGAAATGTCCAATGCCCATTTTTGAATTGGGTCTTTATATTTGGGGGGGCTGATTGTTTTGTTCTTTATATATTCTAGATAATAGTCCTTTGTCTGAGGAGCAGCTGGTAAAAATTTTTTCCCACACTGTAGGTTATCTTTTAGTTCTGTTGATGGTTTCTTTTACAGTGCAGAAGCTTTGTAGTAAGGTGAGATCCCAGTTGTTGATTCTTTCTGCTAGTTCCCGTGCTACTGAGGATTTGTTCATAAAGTCTTTTCCTATGCCAATATCTTCAAGAGTTCTGCCTAACTTATCTTCCATCAAGTTTAGTGTTTCTGTTTTAATATTTAGATCTTTAATCCACTTGGATTTTAATTTAGTGCATGGTGAAAGATAAGGGTCTAGATTTAATCTTTGGCAGGTTGAGATCCAGTTTTTTCTATCAAGAAATCAACCAATAACAAATGTTGCGTGGTTGTGGGGAGAAAGGAACCCTTCTCCATTGTTGGTGGGAGGGCAGACTGGTGCAACCACTATGGAAATCAATATGGAGATACCTCAAAGAGCTGGGACTAGAGGTTCCATTTGACCCAGCCATCCCTCTTCTGGGTATCTTTCCAAAAGAATTAAAAGAATCATATCACAGCGATATATGCACACCTACGTTTATAGCAGCACAGTTTGTAATAGCTAAAACTTGGAAACAGCCCATTTGCCTATCAGTTGGAAATTGGATAAAGAAGATGTGGTTTTTCTATTAAATGGAATACTACTCAGCCATAAAGAATGAGGAATTCAACTCATTCATAGGAAAATGGATACATATTAAGGATATACTCAAGTGAAATAAATAAGTCACACATGTATAAATACCAAATAGTTTCTCTGGTGTGAATAAACTGTAATAGTACATAAGAGCCTAATGAGATAACTGACATTGTGAAATGGGAAGAAAAGGGATAAAGGTGTAGGGAAAGTGGGAAGGGTAGGAGAAAGGTAATAAGGGAAAAAACATATGAGAAAATGAATAAATGGAAATAAAGTGTTTGTAAAGGGAGAGGGGAGGAGGGGGTGAAGGGAGGGCAGGGACAAGAGGATAAAATGAGAACCAAGACCATCTGTCATGTAAAGGTACAAGATCCCAATAATGAATGTGACTGTACTGTATACCTAAAATGTACCAATAAACTCAATAAAAGAAAAAAAACATACTTAGTAAAACAAGAGTGACCACACTAAGTATTTTTTACTTATGTTACATACCAAAAAAATAGATCACATTCTTTTACATGGCATGGTATGTAGAATATACAAAAATACTATTTTGCTATATAACATATTAAAGTTAATGCTAGAATGTTAGCTAAGGTAAAAAAATGAATCAAATTAACTTAGCTGTCTTATACTTTACAATTCAGACTCTGTATGTATAAGGGTTGGGAGAGAATGTAAATGGCCTAAGTATTATAAACCAACTTCCAGAGTATTTGAGGTGATATTTTATTCTATACTAAACTTTCTATAGCTAATATTGTTCTTTATTTACTGATTTTATAGTTTCCCACATGCTTGTAAAAATATCACAGAAGCCTTTTAAAAATGTTCTGTTTTTATTCTACCTTGAAGTTAATGATATAAATATATTAACTATTGTTATTCTCTTATTATTTTTTGATGAAATTTTATTTTTTCATAAAATAAAAGAATAACAGGGCAAGTAAAATTATCTCTAAAACAAACTAACCTGAAGCTCAGACTAACAATTTTTCCAAATTTGAATTTCCAAAGAGAAATAACAGAGCTAAGAAGCATGTGTAACTCTCTATGCAGATATCTACTGAACTATGAATTCCAATGCTTCAGGAGCAGCTTTAATACAGAGTGCTTGTTGATGTTAATGTTTATAAAGTTTTTTTCCTTTTTGGTACCAGGAATCGAACTCTGGTCCTTGAGCTTCCGAGGCAGGTGGCGGAACAACTGAGCTAAATTCCCGGCCACTAAAGTTTCTTTTCTTGAATGCTTTCCTTAGCATTTACTCTCTGTTCATGAAAAGGTCTTTTCAATAGCGGAACACATTCAGGTAATAAGAAAGAATTAACTATCATTATGGTAAAACTACCACAAGGTCACAAAAGAGACTGGAAAGCCATTGAATATAGAAGTTGAGACAATAGTTTTGTTTTTAAATTAAGGGTCTTTGGGTAAGTAGAGACACGTGTGTGTGTGTGTGTGTGTGTGTGTGTGTGTGTGTGTTAAGAGGTTGCCTGTACATTTATTACATCTAACTCTGAGGTTTTTTTTCTACTAATATCACTTGAAAAACCTAATTTGTGTTTAAAATTAGCTGAAAGACTCATAAATGAACCTTATTTTAACTGGTACTAAAAACTAATTAATTACTGAGGCATGCTCTTTAGATATAGAACAAAAAGTCAAAAGCCTTAAAACTTCTTTTGAAAGTTGATACAGAGATTGTTTTGGGGAAGCCACATGACTTAAAAAAAAAACTCTATACTTGAATTTATGTTATTTTCAAGAAAGCACCAAGGGATATCAACATAAATACATCATTTGAGTAATTTGCTTGACTCATTCAGATACCTGCTATCTTCATGTTTTGCATTAAATGCAAAAATACTCAACTGTTTGCAAATTTATGAATTACATTTTTCAATACACACCTGCCAATGGAACACACTGCTTTACATGTGTAATAAGGTTCTCTGCTGGAGTTCTCAAGGTCATAAAGTACAATCACACCATCTGAACCACCTGATAACATGCTGATAATAAAAAAGTTCACATTAATTTATGATTTTATTACTTCATTTATGATGGAAAGTTAATCTGCAAACATCCAAATGTATTACAATCATAGATACAGAATTAATTCTAGCACAGACTATAATAAACTTCAATAAACTAAAATTTCTTTTTTACTTCATCTTTGTTTTCAAATGAGAAGGGGAATATGAGATGGAGTGGGGTAGAGAAGGGAGGGAAAGGGGATTAATAAAAATTGAAAGCAAAACTGAAAATAGAGCTTTTGCAAATGGGAAGGGGATCAAATGATAGAAGCAGTAGGAAGAGATGGGAGGTGTAGGGGAAAAGAAAAGAATTCAGATGTATCATGTACATGTTACCAACTTCCCACAATAAATGTAATCATTATGTACCACAAACGTACTAATAAAAATTGTTGAAAATTTAAAATGAGCTTAAAAATTTTATAATATAGAAAAATTCAGTGATCATTTAAGTTTACCTTCATGATTCCAAAAAGATGATAGAAATAAAACAGCAGATGATAGTTTTTACTTAAGAAAGTAAGATATTACAAAATTATTTTACATGTTAATTATAATTGTGCTAAATAAAAATAGAATCAGAGAGACCAGCTATTACTAATAGTAGCTATTTGACCCTGGGCACCTTATATCACAGGTCTAAATATTTCAATATTTGCAGAAAAGGAGGGCCTTTTCACCTAAATCACAAAGCTGATATTACAGAGTGCCAAGTTCCTTCTAAGTACCTTGCTTCTTTCTCTCTCTTTTCTTTTTTGGTACCGGGGATTGAACTTGGGACCTTACACTTGCAAAGCAGGCGGCAGAACTACTGAGCTAAATTCCCAGCCCTCTTCCTTCTTTCTCTTAGAATGTATTCATTCCATTTTTTGAGCTTCACCTGAGCACCTAAAATATATATATATATCACTCTGCTAACACAGCTGTGAACAAGAGAGGCATTGTTCCTGTCTAGAGTTTACAATCTATTAGGAAAGACAAGTAGTATACATAAACACACAAATTGTTAGTTATACTTGAGATCACTGTGACTAACTTACTTTTATTCTAGTTTAGGGATTCAATGCTAATTTCCTTGACTGCAATGTTTAAACTGGAGCCTGAAGGAAGAACTGATGTTAACCAGACTGGTGTATGAATGTAACAATCCAGGTGTATTCTAGAAACTGCACTGAAGAAGTATGGGAGAGTGGTGAGAGATAAGAGGTCAATAGGAGCCACACCACTCACAGCCTTACTTAGGAGAGTAAAAGAGGGTGCTAAAAATAAATGATATAACTTTTTTGGAAGAAAAGGAAACATTTCTCAAGCTTTTTTCTTAAAGCTGGGGTCTTGTTATGTAATTCAGGCTGACCTTAAACACAATATGTAGCGCAGGCTGGTCTCAAACTCATGACACTCCTCCTGCCTCAGCCTCCTGAATACTGGGATTACAGGTGGGTGGCAGGCCAGAAAACATTTCTTTACTCTAAAACTTGCCTATTATATTGGCAGAACCTATAAAACTATTCTATTTAAAAGCTTTATAAAATAACTGCAAAAAGTAGAAGTAACATATAAGCATATACACAAAACAAAAAGCTTTTACATTGAATTTAACTTGTACAATATTATTGGGACTTGACATACTTTAATCGCTTTTTTATTTGTATATGTATCTAAGACTTTATTACGTGTATTTTTTATTTTTTTGAACTATGTGTTTTTCAATGATCTTAGGTTTTTTTCATGAAATTCCCTGAAATGATCTTTGAATTTGAAGTTGTTGCAACCTTTAATTCTTATGTTAATTAACTTGCGTAAATTAACTTATGTTAGAAAATAACAATAGGTGGTCCAGGATATAAGTTTAAAGATAATTGTGCAAAAAGGAGTCTATTCTTGATTTTTCTTTTATATATTAAAACACACAAATATTTCAGATTAAATATTTTCTTGTTTCTGTTTTTATTTCTATTTCCTTTCTTTGGCAGTTTGTTTTAAAGATGAAACTTTTCAAGCAAGTTCTCTGTATTGTTTCTTTTGTATCAGATTTAAATATTGTAAAACCTTAAACATTGTGAATTTTATTCCATTATTTTACAAAATATAAATTTAGGATTTTTTTTTTTTTTTTTTTTTTTTTTTTTTTTTTTTTTTT